ACTCTTTAATGTTAGCATTAACTGATTGTCTTAATTCCTGTTTTCTAGTAAACGTCTACTTTCAGTTATGACTGCTTACACACTACAATTAAGGGAGTAAACTCATTTTGTTGATACGGGAACAAAGCGAATAGATTTAAACAGAACCGCGTGACGGTGTAACACGAAATTTTTTTGTGACTCCCACAATTTTTTACGGAAGCCAACCTAAATTTATGTAAAAAATTTATGTATGCTTATTCGCTGCATGATGCTAACTACTTTTGTAAATCAATCGTTGGATGTTACCAATGATCTTCTATTTGTGTTAATAAATGGGTTATTAATTAGTTAATTTTATTTGTTATTATTACTATGTATGAAAGTAATAAAATAATAAAACAATAAATAAAAAACAAAAACTTATCCCTCCTCTTAAGCGACTCTTCAGTTCTATTATACTGCTCCTCAATTCTATCGTTCTTCTCCTCGATTCTATCAAATACATCTTTCACTCTTACGATTTCCTCATTCCTTTGAGAAATCTCTTCTATACTAATACCCCGTAAAACAACTTCCGTCCTATATTGAGATTCATATCTCGTCTTTTGGTATGGCATGGCCTTGTTTCCTTTCTTTCCATTTTATATACCCATCATAAACATGTCCAATAATATTAGACGTCAAGATGATAGAGCTCATTACCAATGACAAGAATGGAATAATATCATATGAGACTGTTAGATGTCTATACAGAATCTGCAGGAAATTCAAATGTCAGCATCTATAGAAATTCGTATCATTTGATTAAACCACTTATTTCACATACCTGAATGACCAATTGGGGAATATCTTCAATGAACAGATTCAATGTGCTACCCCAGAAAACATAATTCAGTGCAGTCTTTGACAGAGGTGCAGAAAACATCTGCCAACCAGCAAATTTCGATCCGAGAATCGTGATAGCTTCAACGTCGGCACTCGCCAGCAGAGTAAATACAGAAACTATTCTTACATTTTGACCGAACCATTCTTGAAATTTAGTATTTTTACTTAGTTCTGTCATTAATATTGAGAATGCCAGGGCAGAATTGAAGGCAATAGGAACTATTAAGAAAGCTATACTGAAAATAGAACAAATTGCATAAATAACGAATATAATTTGTATATCATACACGCAATAATTGTAAAATATCATAGACGATAATACCTTGATGGATGAATTTGCGGGACGTTCCTTGCACTTAAGAGTACAAATGCTATATCGAGACTCAGATCTGCAAGTATTAGTGCAAGCTTTATGACAACAAAACTTTGGCCCTAGTGAAAACGGTTTCACGTATTAACATTCATGTCATTTCGTACAAACAACTAACAGCATTAGCATTGAATGCATGCGGGACACCTCACCTCTGGATACTTCCGTCTCGCGATAAAGTATATTATCAATAATATCAAGAGACCAACAAACAGTGCAATTAGTTTAAATTTGTAAGTTTGCCATAAATTGGCTAGACAAGTTCCATCAAAGTAAGTGTATTAGTTTTCATTCATTATAGCATTCCAGTACAATAAAACCAAAGCTTAAAACCACGTAATTGCATACCGGCAGGTGAAAACCCATAAGTTTCATCGAGATAACTAGTAGGATATTCCCGTGAGAATGAATTATAAGCCTTATGCCTAATTAAATCATTAAGATCATCAATAATCTGCTGTACTGTTCTCTGCGACAGATCCTCAGTTGCCTTAAGAGTGACTGGAAACAATATCTGATTTGGTGCATTGGGGTCAGGTTGATTGCGTCTACTGCTGGTTATACGTGATGGATCAATGGGGATGAGCTCAGCAAGCTTTGCAACCATGGAGTCTAAGAAAGAGTTCTTATCATCAGTAGATAATTGTTCAAATAAAGTTGTTCCTTCAGGCGTCAACCTTAAAAGACCTGTCGTGGTATCTATTACGTTCGTTAGAGAGAATACAACTATCAGTCAAGTGTACAGATAAACATTTATAAACGAATGCGATGCTTTACCCGTATATTTTCCTTCAGTTTCAGTTGAGGCTAAAAAATACATGATTACTGGTAAGCAAATGAATAGTCAGCAATTAGGAGAAAGTTAACCACTTGTTAAAGCATACCTCCATAGTACACCCAATTTCCCCTCGTCACTCCGGTAAGTGGTTGTTTCAACTTCTTATTCATTACAAAATTGTTATCCACAACGACATCATATATAGCATCAGGTTTGTTGAAAGTACTCTTGAATATTTCGCATGTTACAGCTGAATCATTTAACGTAACAGAACAGAAACCGGATTTTGCATTGAAACCCTGCCTGAGAATAAGATTCCCGTCTGTCACTTGGTAAATTGAAATGTTTTGTGTCGAAAAAGCGACCTGATCCCTGAATATCAGTGTAATGTTCGTAGTATCTAAAGACACGGATGAGCCTGATCGCGGAACTGATGAATTTACAAGAAGGTTGTTGAATCCAGCATCTGAAGGTAAAAAGTATGGCGATTATTGATAGCGTCGGAATGAAAGAAGAATGCATGCAGTCAGTAATTCTATACGTAATTATGAATTATAAAAATTACTCACCTTCTGGCAATACTTTGGGAAGTGGGAAATAGACTACGGCTAACTTTGACGGGTCAGAAATTCCCAGCCACATGGTGTTATTCGGAAATACGGCAAAATCACCGAAATTACTGATCTCAATAGTATCAATTGGATCAACTATCGGAAAGGTCGTTATAGTTGTTCCATTATTATCCTTGACGGTGCCATTATATCTAGAAACCTGACCAGGGTCATCAAACACCAATACAAACAGAAATCCGCCATAAGGCAATTGCCGTATTCCTTGAATATCCTTAAAAGTTTTCTCTGAGCCTTCCAATATCACGTTGACATCAGTTACAGAACCACTAGATAAAAATGCCACCTTCACGTAATCCCAACTAACTTCGTTGATACTAGGAACTTCTATAATACAAAAGTATCCTGTCCCATCAGCAGCCACTTCGCAGCCCTCTAAAAGCACCGCACTGGTTGGGATGGGGCTCTGCCAGATTAAATGAGGCGTGTCAAATTGTAACGTGTCAGGTTGCCAGAATCTAACATATAGCAACCATTGCGGAAAATAGTGGAATTTAGAGACGTTTGGACTTTCGGGTTGATAGTTTAAAAAGGCTATGCCATAACCGCCTTCCGTGGTGGGAAAGATCGCGTAATCGGCCAGATTATGGGCCGTGATACTGCCTTCGTACAACTGGGTTATTTGACCCGTGCTGTTGCTATTAATAAAGCGTGGGAGGGTGGTTTGATTAATCGCAAATGCCTTATCGAATGGTTGCCAAATTTAATGTTTATACTCACGGTGTACTAAAAATTTTCCACGGAATGTTATCAAAATAATCCGATGCTGCTACAAGAAAATCCTTATCCGGATTGACGTTGGTTTCTACGAGTGGTCTAGACATATGAATGCCCACAGGACCATCGTTAAGCGTCACATCCCTATCGACAAATATAAAACAATGATCCATCTAAGCTCATAAGAAGTTTTTTCACTTCCTGACTCTTTAGGCTCTAAGTAACCCTTACCTTTGTAATATTTGACCGCTCCAATCGACCAACATTCCATACATAACTTGGTCGTGGTTTGCCTGAGCTATGAACACATATCCATCATTAAGCGGGAAAGCATTCGCTGCGTATTCGGTATTATTGTATGTTGGTACAGTAAATTTGGTCAACGTGCCATTTGGATGTAGCAGACGAATATACAAATTATTGTCATAATCAGAACCAGATGAATTCGAATGAAGCAATTGCATCAACCCTGTGCCATCTGGATACGTAAAGCCATTAGCATGCCCATCCTCTGGTTCAAAGAAAGAAAGAATATCAACGTCTTCGTACACTGAATAATTATTAAAAGCCCGAACGCTTGCGAGGAACCAAAAAATAAAAACAAGGTAGCGGAGCTTGATGATCATTATTATAATATGGTATAGGACTGACACTTTCTGACCAACGAAAAAATCTTTGCAATAATTCCAACATCCTAATTTGGAAATGGGTATTAGTATGTACTCTTAAACGTTAAGTGGCTTTGGATTACAAAAGACAATATCTTTATCATAATATTCGCCCATTCATTAGAGACAAATTCAAAGATATTACTTGTCCAAGACCAACATATACTGGCAATGAATAAAATTATTAAAGTAATTATATACTTAATATTTCCTCATAAAGAGGATATAAGTATCATTAAAAGGGTAAATAAAATAAAAACATCATAAACGAACTTGAACAGAGAAATAAAAACCTATAAGAAAACGAAGTATTAAAGAAACAACTAGTTGATAAAGATGAAAACTTCAAACTAAAAATTTATAATGCCGTTCACAATGTTATGGAAAATGAAAGTCCAGAAATTTCTAGCACTTTAGTGACCATTTTTGGTCTTGAGATGAGTGGGTAAAAGTTCAAAAAAAAAAAAAAAAAAAAAAAGAGTTGAGAAAGTTAATTTTGGTAATGAATTTACCCTTGAAAACATTGTTAAAGGTTTTACAGAGTGAACCTGACATGGTTTGGTTTTATTTATGACAATGTCGGACTAGCTTACACCTGGGAGAGCAGCGGTGTACTAGCCGTTTTGGGATTTAGTTCGTTTCCAACGGAAGCTTTTGCTCTTCCTACTTTAAACTAAATAACGTACAATTAGTCGTACAATTAGTGACCTTTAAACTCAGGCTTTCAATACTCACGATGTATATTATCGCTTTTGTATGCGCTTTTCCTAGGTTATTGCTTAAACTCGAGTATCTCAGCGATTTCCGTAGCAGGATTAATTCTACAGCCTATCGAACGGGTAATTATACTATTTATGGTGTCGACTATTAATTAAACAATAACCCTATTGCAAAAGTACTCAATAGAATTTATCGGCAAGATTAAATTCTATTCACCGCTGACGGGCAAAGCGGTTTAACACTTCGCCAAACGATGCCCGTATCTTTTATCAGGGAATGAACGAAATAAAGATTATAATTAAATCGGATATTTATTAGATTATAAAGAACTATCTAATAGCAACGTCTTGCTTGATCTGAAGATTTAATTGAATCGAAGATGAACTGAAGATGATTTTTAACTACTATCTACGACTCTTATTTATAACTAATTATCGTTCCGCTAGCTGTCCAAATTTTTGGATATATGAGGAAATTGTACTTTGTCCTTGTTCTCCCCTTATTCGGACGTCTAGATTTATCTGTCCAAACTTTTGGATATATCTGGACAATCTATTTTTATCTGTCCAAATTTATGGATATAAGCGGACTAGTACGTTTTGTCCAAGTGACCGGCGTTCGTGAAAACGTAATGTTTGTACGTATACAAATTCCATAACCAAAACGAAAAATATATGACACTTATTTAAATGCAATACTTTCTCGAAGGTGCCCACACCAATGCCCCGTGCCCGTACTTGGCTCCGGGCAATTTTAACTATAAAACCAACAATCTAACATGACAATATTTACTGTCAAAGCGAGCCAATACGTTTCCGGAAGCGGTCCGTCCGCAAAATTATCTGAACTCGACATTATGGCTCGGCACAACGTCAGCAAAAAAAACCTCTACGATCGAACCAAAAAAGCCAAATTGGGTTCGAAAGTATCTATAGTGGGTGAACTCGACCTACACGAAAACAAACTGTATTGAATTACACAACTTGAGTACATATCCGGCACCTTGCCGTATTAGTATACCACCACATCATCCTCTTTCCCATCCCCCACGCCATCATCCACCTTCGAGAAAAGGACATTACTATACAGTTCGTTAATGGAAGCTCCGGATAAACTTCCTAAAAACCGAGAGTATTAACCCTCCTGATAGCAGTAGTAATTTTGAACCCAACACAAATACATCAACTCGGCCAATATTAATATCGGAAGAAAACTCGGTCAAGGAACCAACTCAACCCAAACCCCGGAAAAGAACTCTACGATCAACCAAAAAGTTTTCCGACATAGCGTCCAATAAACTAGACTTTTCCAATATATACGACGAGTCCGAATAATAGCTTTATTTATATTCATCCATTTTTTAATATTTCTTCACTTTAACTTAGGTCAAATTTTTGGAAGGGGCTTCGCCCCTCCTGTATCAGTATTGATGTAGGGACATGTATTTGGATAATTAATGCATCTATTTACTATTATGTTGTGAAATAATTATTTTGTTGAGCAACTGGTTGAGATTATGTTTGTATTGTTAGTGACATGAATATTGATCATGATGGTTACAGATCAGGAAATAATAATGGTTCAATTCAAAATCAGCAAAAGTTAACGGAATTCGTTGTTTATCTTTATCTAAAAGAAAACCTATGGCCAGGCGAAAGTAATGTGCATCTTCGTTATGTATTTCTTCGGGTAGAACATATGGAGGCATTCTATCTGATGTGTTTATGGGAGAAGCGAAATTATTGTTGAAGTAGGCAAATTATTGTGCGAAGCTAGGGAATTGTATGCAGATAAATAAGAGTTATTTTGCTGCAATAATTCACTAGCATAACGCAATGATGGATGATACTTGGTTCGGATAAATCAGATTGTTGTAGAAAGGCACTTAGCATACCAGAATATAGTGTTAAGGCTACCCAACAAAAGGATGTACACCAACGGGGCGACCTAAATTGGTATGTAGGAAAATAGGAGAAAGATACTTTCTTTTTGGCATAAGAAACATCGTTGATACATGCAGGTATTAGATTATTTTGGATGAGATTTACAATTACCGTACACGGCAAATTTTGACGGATTGCTTGGATATTAGTAAGAGATTTTCTGGGAAAAATAGTTGACAATGGTTTCGTCCATTTAGTTGAATGCGGATATAGGATATTGTGCATAATCGTTTTCGGCAAAATTCTACGTAACGAATCGGAAGGACGCCAATGTCAGGATCGAGGCCTAAGTACGACATATTCCTCCGTGATTTCCGCTCAATTCTCCGATTCCGCAGCACACGAAAT